ACTTAATGCAGTATTTGGGAGGGAGATGTATTTGGGAAGAACCTCTCTGCAATGGTTCTCAACCCTGACAGCACATGAAATTTCTGGGGGTGAGGTGAGAACCAGGCGCCAGTAACCTTTAAAGCTCCATTTCAAGGTGCAACCAAGTTTGAGAGCCAGTGCTAAGTTTAGAGGACTTCGTGCGGGGGTGGCCATACATGTCCTATTCTGGCAGATGTTTCTGGTGAGCCTCCCTCTCCCTTCTTCCAACACAGCAGGTGCACAGAGCTGTGGACTGGAACCTTGAACCATCACCAGTGAGGAACATCTGATGCAGTATATATATTTACTCCTAAGCTCTGCAGTATGAATCCTGAGGCAGGTTTCTCCAGCCTTTAAGCTGTGCTATGCTTTCAGAACCCCTCCCCTTCAGAATTAGAGAACCTAGGAAGGAATAAAAGGCAAGGCTATTACCATACATTTCCTTTTGATCCATTGCAGTAAAGAGCAAATGATAGAAATGCACAGAAAATGTATGTGAGTACCCCCCTCTCTCCTCTGTTTACAAGTTGGTTGGAGGCAGAAGGTTGGTTGGTTGTTTTGGAGGCAGAAGGCTCTGTTGAGACTGAGGAGAGGGGAGACGATGCTGGAGACTGTGATGCATGGTGGTGGCTCACCTTTCTTACTGTGTTTATTTTCCCCGTGTACATGGCCACCGAATGACTGACTTGATAAAATGTTGCCTCCGGTTTTGGTTTGTTTCATTTTCTTCAATCCTGATAGCTGACCTAAACATTGTGAGGTTGCAATGCAGATTACATGCATGATGGCTTTGAGTGGTTCTGTGATCTGGGACCAATCACTGTCAAAAGTGCAGTGGGACCAAGAAACAAAGACCCAACTAAATCCTGCCAGAGCAGAAAGGTGGGGATAGGAAGCGACCTTGCTGGCTCTCCCTGCGGTGGGCATTGCCACCAGAGGTGACTGGGAGCAACCTGGTGTGGATTTCTCGGTCTGGGTCATGTGTTTTGGTCTTCCCCTCATAACCACTATCTCTTTTTAGTCAGAAAGCCAACATTTGGTAAGGGATGGTGGTGGCAAGCTCTTCTGACACCAGTCCATTCCTCTGCCTTTTGCCCTGTCCCAGTAGCCCAATGAGGGCATCAGCCGCCTCTGAGAGGGGTGTGGTGGTGGAGCCAGCCTCACTCCTCTCGTCACACACTCTGAGTCAAGCAAGGGAAGTGGCACCATCGATCCGTCATATGTGCCCAGCGTGTGCTTTACACACATCATCAAATTTGTCCTTACAGCCCCTCTGACAGACCTTATCACCCCTCTCCTCTAGACAGGGAAACTCAGCTGTGGCTACAAGGCTAATGATGATGCAAGGACTTGAACCCAGTCAAATGGCTGCAAAGTGGGTTTTCCTTCCCTTGGATCTCTCTCTCTGTCTTTTCCTGGAGCAAGGAGTGTCAGCCTGAAGAGACCTCAGTGAGGTACACTGCAGTCAGTCACCTTCACAGATCAAATGCTGTTTTCTCTCAGGGACAATCTGGTGGACGTCTGCACCTCGGCCTTCTTGTGGCCATTGCCGAGCACTGTATGCAGGCAGTCCTGGCAAGGCTGGCTTGGTTATTAATCTGTACAGTCACTGAGGTGTGGGTAGCAGGCCTCAAAGGTTCACGCTTTGATCCTTACTTGTGTTCTGGGATGTGTCACCTTCTCTGTTGGGCCCTGGGTTTGGCTGTGAATGTGCAAAATATTTCTAATGCTAAAACATTTCTAATGCTAAAAGTGTGGAGGAATGAGTCTAGTTGAGATTCCAGATGCATAAATTTGGTCTCTTGGCAGCTAGATTGCACTTTCTAGAGCTCAGGGGGTTATAAAAGTCGACATCTTTATATAGATCTATGTGCAGCGTGGCCGAATTGCAGTTGCTTTTGGAGCTATAACTTTGAATTACCTGACTTTTTGTTTTAAAAAGAAGGATGCATTCACGTAGGTGTTGGCTTATTTGGAAAGCAGGGCAAGGAAGGCACAGGAATGAAAAGGGATTTTGGAAAACAGAGAACAGCCCTCGTTTGACTCCTCTGGTGGTCTCACTGAGAAGTCTTACCAAGATGGTGCCGTCCCACAGCTTGAGGACAAGAATCCCCAGCCTGCAGAAGTAGGGCTCCCCTTTGGAGGACAGGCAGGGCTGGGCCTAGACATTTGGGTACTGTGGGCTGCATTCCAAAGGATGATCTTTAAACATTTTGTTCAACAACTCTTTCATGGGCGGGGATAAACTGATGTTGTGTCAAGAAAAACCTCTCTAACTTCAAAATAGGAAATTTATTACATGAATTTATTACAGGAGATTTTCCAGGTCAGACAGCTACTCGGAGGTATATTGAATGATTTAAAATTTAGTTCATAAAGTCAGTCACTCCTTCTCAGTGAGTAGCATTATGTGTGCCTAACAGTTTCAGACCTGTGTCTCCTGGCACCCAACTTGCCAGATCTCCCCTCTGGTTGGTCTCAGCGTTGGTGGAAGGGCCGGTGGCTGCATCGTGCAGCATTCCCACCTGCGTTGCATGATGTGCTCAACGGAGATGGGGTCACACCAGCTAGAGAGGGAAACCTAAGTTAATTTACTCCCGTTTCCACTCTTCCCAAGGACGTTTTATCGTTTTTACGGACTGCCCTCCAGAGTTGCTTGGCTCATTCCCCTTAATCTATGGTTACAGATTCAGACTAAAAAAGATTGAAATCCTTCGAGTAGGGTTTCTCCCTTTGGCATTATTGGCATTTGGGGCTGGAAAATTTTTTGTTCTAGGGGCTGTCTTGTGTATTGTATGTTGGGTTTTAGCAGCATCCCTGACTTCTACCCACTAGGTGCAATTGACAGCTGCCCCCACCCTCGCCCCCATCACAGTTGTCACAGACAGCAATGTTTCCAGTCATACCTGGGGAGCAAAAGTTTCCCCATTGAGAATCCCTGCTTTAGGAAAAGGAAGGAAGGGGTCTTAACATCTTTGTGGGTGCTGAAACCCCAGAAGACCTTTGTCTACAGGGCTGGGTTTTAAATTAGTTCCCAAAGCGTGAAAAGGGAGTCTCAATTTCTAGCCAGTTGACTACAGTGAAGCTTTTAAGCAGTTTAATTTCAGAAAGATATGTTTGATGCTTTTTACTAAGATGAGGCATTAGAAGACTAGAAATAGCTGTTCGGGTTTTTTTTGTTGTTGTTGTTGTTGTTTTTAATCAACAAATCAAGGGAGGTTCCAGAAAGGCTCTTTGACTTTTTCAGGAAATACTTTTCCGAGCAGGGTCTCTGACCTACCATGCTTATGGTTCTTGTGAGACTGGACTCCTGCTCTGGCATTTCTTCATGGAGTGGGCAGTACTGAGGGTCGTGGCTGGGCCCTGTGTGCAGCAGATGGGAATAAATGGGCAGGAGCGAGGTTCCTGTCCCCAGGATGTCCCCAGCCTCCTCTAGGCAGGAGCCTCCAACACTTCAGCAGGAGGGGCGGTGCAAGTGAGGTAAACATGAGTTGAAACAGTTCTGTTGGGTTTGGAATGACGGTGCCGGAGCCGTGGTTTTCGAGGTGTACTCTTTTAGCAGCTGATGTTACTTTTTCTTCAAATGACATGTGCAAAAACACAATATAAATAAAAAATGTCAGACCCAAGTTTGAAGGCAGAGTGAAAGAGGGGACCTGTACCCCACACACCTCATCTCACCTTGGAGCTGACACTTCCAAAGACAATGCACTTTGCATCACCCGTCTGACTGAAAGTGGGCTAATGCGTGGTTGGATAATCTTGTTTTTTTCCTCCCCCTGACTGGATCTATCATCTTTTTTCTATTTTAGATAAAAGTAGTTTTCAAAACTACAAACCTAAGTGAAGATTATCATGCTGTTCCATTGCTGTGTAATTTTTACTCTCAATCTATGGAAGCAGATTCAGGGGCTGAGAAAATGCATATGTATGTACATACATACATATACATATTCATTAGGAGTATTTTGATATTTTGTTTTGAAAAACTTAAATATATAGAAAAATAGAGAAAAGAGCCCAACCCCTAGATTTAACAGTTGTCATTATTTTGTCATATTTGCTTCACCTATTTCTTTAAACCTCTACTGGATAAGAATTTTAAAGAACATACCTACCTTAACAAGGTCTGGGAATATTTCCACCACATTCCCCTTACCCCCACCCCATTCCCTATTCCAGTTCATCTTGCAGACCTGTGTAATTTTTCTTTTTTTTTTTTTTACGGTACACGGGCCTCTCACTGTTGTGGCCTCTCCCATTGCGGAGCACAGGCTCAGGACGCGCAGGCTCAGCGGCCATGGCTCACAGGCCCAGCCGCTCCACGGCATGTGGGATTTTCCCGGACCGGGGCACGAACCCGTGTCCCCTGCATCAGCAGGCGGACTCCCAACGACTGCGCCACCAGGGAAGCCCTGATAATGCTTTTTAATGGGCCTTCCTAAGTAGACTACAGCATGATTCACATAATGGGATAAATGGAATATAATGAGTCTAAAAGAGCTACCAGTCCCCAGTTATATATAGAAGCACAGGTTTGTTTTCCAGTGAGGATCATACCAAAGCAGGCAAATATTCTTCTTGAATTTTGTGATTGCTTCTAAAATGAACAACGTTTATGAATTAGCTTCTTGGCCCCCCAAATATGTTTATGCTGACAAGAATGGGAGTACCCAATTTTGTACAATGTAATTCAGCTATTACTTGCATACGTGGTGGGTGGTGCTGTGCAAAAGACTTATGTCGAGTTTCGCATCATTAAACATGCCCTGGGAAAGGTGAGGGTGGGTTTCGATAACATCTCTCTTCCCAGAATAAATTGCTTCTTCCCTTACTTTGCAAATTGGTAAAAATATTATAGGTTGATAAATATTTTTGCAGTGTGATTGCTTTTCAAAATTGAATTGCAAAGCTGATGCATATGTTGGGAGAGGGGATATTTACAATGGCCTATACCTGATTTTCCCCCTCTTTGGCAGGAAATAACCACGTGTTTACCAGATTACTACAAATGGACTCAGTATCTCTTTATTAAACTCTATGAAGCTGGACTGGCCTATCAAAAAGAGGTACGTTAAAGTTAGCTCTGCTTTTAAGATTCTGTAAACCTTCTCCATCTTCTTAGAAGACATCATTGTTAAATAAGGAATAAAATAAACTCTGTTTGCACAGTAGCAGTGAAAATGTACACAACCTCACATTCATGAAATCAATCACAGCGGGCCCAGAGAGTAACTACTGTCTGGCTTAGTTTGGTGCCTCCAGGACAGGGCTTGAGCTTCTTTCACCCTTGAATTCCCAGCACATAACAATGTCTGTAATGAAGTCAAGAAGGAGGCTTAGGAGGAACACGTTTCTCAAATCCTAGCTACCTCTCATAGATGTGTGCCGGCTGGTGACAACCTTTAGGAATCATGGTTTCTCATCTGCTGTTGGGTGATAATATCTTCCTTGCCGGGTCTTGGGAAGAGAAAGGTAATATTTAAAGAACAACAAGCACAGTGCCCACACCTAGTGGCCTCCCAAGAAATGGAATGCTTCTTAAAGCAGGAGGTCAGTAATAGTAGATAAGCCTTAGATGGCAGGAGTTGAGAGAAAGAGTATCATCACATGGCCTAGAACTGCACCGTCCAGTATGATGATAGCCATTAGCTGCATGTGGTTGTTGAAATTTAAATTTAAAGTAATTAAGATTAAATAATATTAAAAATTCAGGTCCTCAGTCATACTAGCCACATTCACGTGCTGGTAGCTAGTGTTGGACAGCAAAGATATAAAACATTCCCATCATAACAGAATATGCTTCCACATAAGAAAAGTACCAGATAGCACTGGTCTAGAAAATTCAGAAGTACCAAGTAGAAAACTCATTGTACCGTTATACTTTAGATGTTCTCCTTTGACCAGAGGGATTTAATGACATAGAATTATATTTACTTTTCTGTGGGTCACATCACATTGCTTCATCTTGCAAAGAATAGTACTTATAATATCATTATTTTTTAAATATAAAACATTTTACAATCAGTATAGAGACTCATATAGAAGGCTCAGTTTAGAATATGAGAATAACACAAAATGTCTTAAACCTTGACAACATAAAAAATAACATAGCTAACAAAAATCAGGAGGTGAGGGCTTCCCTGGTGGCGCAGTGGTTGAGAATCTGCCTGCTAATGCAGGGGACACGGGTTCGAGCCCTGGTCTGGGAGGATCCCACATGCCGCGGAGCAACTGGGCCCGTGAGCCACAACTATTGAGCCTGCGCGTCTGGAGCCTGTGCTCCGCAACAAGAGAGGCCGCGACAGTGAGAGGGCCGCGCACTGCAATGAAGAGTGGCCCTCACTTGCCACAACTAGAGAAAGCCCTCGCACAGAAACGAAGACCCAACACAGCAAAAATAAATAAAATAAATTAATAAACTCCTACCCCCAACATCTAAAAAAAAAAAAAAAAAATCAGGAGGTGAAATTGGGAAAGAGAAGTAGAAGCAAGCGTGAGATGATCCCTACATCTTTCATAACAAGGAGTCATAGATGGAGAATTAGAGATTTATGTCTATTTTTTTTTTAAGTTGAAAGGTAGCTATTAAAGCTAAAACTAACAAAGGTAGCAAAAACTAGAATAGGGGTCAGGTGGGAGGAAGGCTGTATGACTGTGCTGAATATCTCATATTATATGGTAGAGGGTCAGCAGAACTGTCTAAAGATAGTATATCAGGGACTTCCCTGGTGGTGCAGTGGTTAAGAATCTGCCTGCCAATGCAGGGGACATGGGTTTGATCCCTGGTCCGGGAAGATCCCACATGCCGTGGAGCAACTAAACCCATGTGACACAACTACTGAGCCTGCACTCTATAGCCCGCGTGCCACAACTGTTGAGCCTGTGTGCCGCAACTACTAAAGCCCATGTGCCTAGAGCCTGTGCTCCGCAACAAGAGAAGCCACCACAAGGAGAAGCCCGCACACCGCAACAGAGAGTAGCCCCCGCTCACCACAACTAGAGAAAGCCTGCATGCAGCAACGAAGACCTAATGCAGCCAAAAAAATAAACAAAATTAAATCTTATTTTAAAAAAAAAAAAAAAAAGAATATGCCTGCCAATGCAGGGGACATGGGTTCGATCCCTGGTCCGGGAAGATCCCACATGCAGTGGAGCAACTAAGCCTGTGTGCCACAATTACTGAGCCTGTGCTCTAGAGCCCATGAGCCACAACTACTGAGCCTATGTGCCACAACTACTGAAGCCCGTGCGCCTAGAGCCCGTGCTCTGTAACGAGAGAAGCCGCCACAGGTAGAAAAAGCCCGCACTCAACAATGAAGACCCAATGCAGCCAAAAATAATAATTATAATAAAAAAATAAAAATAAAGATAGTATATCATACTTGAGGTAGTACAATTTTATTACTTAAAGTTATAATAGTAAATACCAGAAGAACTAAATAACAGAACCTGCTAAAAGTGGAGAAGTATTTTAATAACCATTGCAGATAATTATGAGTATTCTCCTTTGATACTACACCAAAACTCAACAAGTGGTGGGTTCTTAAAGGTCAGTTGCAGTGTTGAATCTAAATATCAATGAACTTTTTGTACTCTGTTATATTAAAATGTGTTGGCCTATTTTACACTTTGAATGAACGTTGTACCCATGCATTATTATTATAATGAAAATAGTTTTGACCTGCAGACCCCTTGCAGGGGTCTCAGGGACCCCAGAGGTTTATGGACCACACTGTGAGAACCACTGTACAGCATATACAATCCCTAACCCACTCTCATTTTTAAATTAAGGATATTAAAATATTGGTTGTTCAAAATATTATGTTGTTATATTTGTTTTTTTAAAGAGACTATTCCGTCCCCATTAACATCTGGGATAAATTGAGAGTGAGAACTTTGTGGAACTGAGCACTGTAGAGCCTCCTGGGTCAATTTAATTTCTTAACACACCATAGCTGTTCCTATGCTCAGAGCCCCGTTAGGTGAGGAGTGGTGAGAGACGAGTACCTGTTCAAAGTGCTGACTGCAACAGACCTTTTGTGTTGTTAAAGCTTTATTTTCAGAAGTTAAAAATATGACTCCCATACAAATATAAAATGAACATGTGTCAAGGATTTTATTCAACTCATTAATTAGTGAGAGAACCATTTGTATGTTAAGACTGGTTCAAATGAGATTTCAAGGAAGGGTGGTTTATAGGGTCACAGGCGTGCTGAAATGAATTTACTAATAGAATCAAAACTGCTTAATGTCCGTCCTACAAGGCATAAACCTAATTCCGGGGACAATCTTTTCTGTGAGACAGAAATCATTGGCATTGTCTTTGCATGGGAGCCATTTGCATCGCTCTCAGACATAAAGCGTTTTCGTAGCTCTGAGTTTTCTGCAAGTTAACCTCTTCTTTTCACCTAGCAGGGCTGTAAAATAACTTAAACAATAGTGAATAGGGAGTCAAACAAAGGTACACATCCCTAGAAAATCAGATAATCCCTGGGGGATGTGGGTCTGCTAGCCAATCCCAGCCTACACTGAAGGAGCAATCCCTTTTGCCTGTTTCTAAGTTTTGGATAATTTTTCTTAGCAGCATTATTCAATATCCAAAAGCAAAAGGGTAGGAAGAGAATTGGTGGGAAAATCATCAGATTTCCACTATGATCAACAGGTTCGGTGCTGATCTAGCAGCCTGGCAGACACCTTCCCAGAAGAGCCTCCCTTGCTCAGGTGGATTATAATTATACCCAAAGGGGGTTTCTACACTGGAATCACCCATGGGTCCAGGCAGAGGGAGTAAGAGATCATGAGCTACATTGTGTATTCCAAGTGATAGCAGGAAGGACAAACAAAAATTGAAGTTATAAGACATGAAAAAGCCACAGCAAAGCAAAGGGCGTCCTGCAGGTAAAACACAGGAAAGAGTGAACAGTTCTTTAAAGAGTGTAAGCAGTCGTACACAGCATCAATTAGATTAGCCAGGGTTACCTATCCTCAGTTGCATAGTTACTATTTATATGCATGGGGTATGAAATGATGTGACATGTTAATGTAATAGTGTAAACATTTCTTGCATGGAGCCCTTGGTTGTGTAATATCCCTTTACAAGACACTTGATTTTTTGTATCTATTTATTGTATAGTTAAGCTGACTTTTTGAATATATTGAACGTTTATTATAACATTTCTTCATAGGACACTTGCTTCTCTGTCTCCACACCCCGGGTTTGTTCATGCTGCTTCAGTTCTAAGCACATCAAACCCAAGTAGGAAGCTTAATCTCATCACTATTGGGTTGGATCCAAAGCCAATCACAGACAGCATCTTCGGAGCTGAGTAACTTTTCTGATGATGGAAGGGGTTTCTGGGGCCCCCCATTGCACAAGGATGACCATGCTACTGGCTCCAGATGTCTCTCTTCTCCCCAGTTGTTTCCAAGTCAGTGTGACACTCCGCCCCCCAGCCTCACAATCTGCATACCCCTGGGGAATTTGGTCCAGTTTTCCCCTCTGACTACTTCTCTCATGGGAACAGACTGTATTCCTTTCCTGTTGCTGCTGCTGTAACAAATTACCACCAACTGGGTCGCTTAAAACAGCACAGATTCATTGTCTTACATGTCCATGAAATAGGTCTCACTGGGATAAAAATCAAGACGTTGGCAGAGCTGCCTTCACTCTGAAGGCGCTAGAGGAGAATCTCTTTCCCTGCCTTGTCCAGCTTCTGGAGGCTGCTTCTGTCATTGACTTTGAACTGCTCTCCAACTTCAAAGCCAGAGCGTAGCAACTTGAAATCTCTCTGACCTGTGCTTCCATCATCACCTCTCCTTCTCAGACTCTGAATCTTCTGCCTTCCTCTTTCTCTTATAAGAGCTTTTGTCATTACTTTGGGCCCATCTGGTTAATCCAGGTTAATCTCCCCATCTCAAAATCCTTCATTAATCATATCTTCAAAGACCCTTTTGCCATGTAGGTAACATATTCACTGGTTGCAAGTGACATGGGCATCTGGATTCTGGATGACATAGGGTGTGGACATCTTTGGGGTGCAATTGTTCTGCCTACCACCCTCTTCTC